ATATCACCACATCCATGGGCCATCAAATACTATGTGACAGTAGAAGCTGTAGGCAAACATTGGGAGGGGAGAGGTAAGCCAGGGCAAAGGGGGACAGGTTCTACAGGGAAATATACTTTACTACAGGCCTGGTGCACAAAATTCGTGCACTCAGGGGAGTCCCTCAGCCCAGCCTGAACCCTCTCGCAGTCCGGGAGCCCTCGGGGGATGTCCAACTGTCAGCTTAGGCCTGCTCCCCACTAAGCCAGCAGTCGGACATCCTTAGCGCTGCCATGGAGGCGGGGGAGGCTCCCACCACTGCCCCACCACTGCCACTGCGCTCACCAGCCATGAGCTCCTGCATTGAGTGTCTGCCCCCTGGTGGTCAGTGCACACCACAGTGTCGGTCATTCCGCCATTCGGTCGATTTGCATATTAGCCTTTTATTATATAGGATTATAGAATGTTTGAAAATTTGGCCTTGGAATAATAGCTCACTAACTTCACCAACTCCTCCCTAAATACACACCAACTCTATTTTCTTTTTCCCAGATTCTGGGCTGGTCCCATACCATAAATATTCCCAGACCTGACTGATATTTTCCCCTTAATTATGGCCAATAGGAAGAAAAGGGTTTCCTCTTAGCTACAGAAGAACTGAAAGGTAGTACTGGAGTGAACTTTGCAAGTTGCCTAACTCTTACTCCTTGCTTAAAATAACAATAAAATTAGGGGAGAATGAATTCATGACTTGTCTAGGACCACATATATTGTTAGTGTCTACACGTTCTTTTTTTTATTTCAAAAATTATAAGGAACCACATAACTTACAGCAGTAAAGCACACTAAATGTGAACTGTGTATTATTGAGGTTTGACTGTATCACCTTAGCAAATGAGCTAAAATGTACACATTTAGTAGTCAAGCCCAGGATTATTAGTGTTCTTGATTAAGCACACTATTACTAATGCTTTAGAATATTTTTGAATGATTTTGTAACTTTGACAGTTATTTTAACATTCCCTGTTATTAAACTTTAATATATTTTAATTACTATACTAGTCTCATCAAAACATTCATTAAATAGTAGTACTTTTTAAGGGGGTCTTACAAATTCACGAAGACGAATTATGTTGAAATGGAAATTAGCTATTATAATATACTACAAAGACACTTAGACAAACACCATAATGCACTGTGCAGTTAATTTAGTGAAGAACTCAAAACAACATCAGAGCTAATGCTGAGAACATTAAAAAGGCAGTATTAGAGCAGATATATTCCGCAATAGATGTAAATTTATGCTCTCTGAGAACATACCTTTCCTCTTATATGTCTATTCCTATGCGAATATTAGTATTGAATGATGCAGGTTTTGAATTCTTGCTGGTCTTTATAAAGAAAATCTTTGCATAGACTGCTCTACTGTTAATGTATGAGAATAAAATATTTTTAAATTTATTTTGGTTCAATTTTGTTCTTGCATTTGGTTTTTATATTTGTTTTTATACCCTTAGGACACATGTATGTTTTTTACCTGCAAAAAATAAGTAAATGCCGTATATTCTTGTGTAAAGAGTATTTTATTTGAAAATATAAACTCTCCACCATATTAATTAATATATCTCTGCATTATAATTTTTAATGGTTACTTGATGCCCCACCTTACAGATTCCTACAAGCTATTCTTTTTTTTCTTTACATTTATATTTTTGACAGTGTGTTGCTGTTAATATAAGTTATAAGAAATGTACTTATACATGTATCTTTGGACAATTATTTTCTTAGGTCATATTTCTAATAACAGAATTGCTACATTGCAGTGCATGCTCCTTTTAAGTCTTGGTAGAGTGGCCTCTAAATTGTTTTATAAATTATTTTCCAAATAGAAATTTATGAGACTGAATTCTTCCCAAACTTATGCCCACCCTGGATATCATTTTTCTTTATAATCTTTGCCAATGGTAAAGCCAAAAAACATTTGCATTTTTTATTCGTAGTTTATGAGTTGCTTTCATATATTTATTCCTCATTTGCATTTTTTCTTTTATTACTTTCCCCTTTGTATCCATAGATCATTTTTATGGTAGTGTGATCTTCTTATAAATGTGTAAGAGATAATTAAATGAAGTCAATAAACCATTTCTTTCACATACTTAACAAATATATTTTCCAAGTGATTTTCACTTGATTTTTTCCCCCCTGGAAGTAAGGTTTTAAATTTTTCTAGAGTAAAATCTGGTAGTCATTTCTTTTATGATTCGACAGCTTGCTATCCCTACCCAGAGACTAAATAAGAAAATTATTTTATGTTTTCTCTAGGTTCTTGGTGGTTTACTGTAAGATGTTAAATCAAGAATCCACATGAAATTTATGTGATAAATTTCTGACTGAGAGGCGTGCTCGTCCCCTCTCCACCCATTGCCTAGTTTCCTGACACGGTTTCCTGCCCACCTCCTTTCTCCCCTCCCCCCACTTGGAAATTCCCCCGTCATCAGACTCTAAATTCTTATGAACTCTTGGGTTTGTGTCTGTACTCCTAAGGAGCTAGAGGCAATCTTTTAAATTTTATATTAATATTATATATATTCATGTATTATAGAAAATACTGATTTTTTTTAGACCTGGCTGTTATTCTGTGGTTTGTTGTTGTTCTTCTTCTCCTTCCAGATGAAATTTAGATGTGTTCTGTTAAAGTAAAATAAAACAAAAAATAAAGAAGTCACATCACTCAGCTTACTAAAGTTTTGATTGGATTTTGTTAAAGAATGTTGTGTCTTGCTATTTAGGAAAACAGTACATGTCTCCATTCACATCACTTCTTTTGTGTAAGTTCTGCCCAATTTTTGTTAATCTAGCCCTAAACTCAATGCTACTGTGAATGGAACTTATTTCTTATTACTATCATTGGCATAAGAGGAACAGTTGATTAAGTGACATCATGAGAATGAAACTGATCTGGTGTGATTTACTGAAAACATAACGGCCCTTATATTATGCCAAGAAATGTGTAACCTGAATTTAGTTGGAGGAAATGAGAGAGAGAGAGAGAGAGAGAGAGAGAGAGGATGGAAGGAAGAGAGAGAGCAAAAGTAGCAAAATATTAACAACTGTGAATCTAAATAAACAGTTTATTCAGGTGTTTTATTCAAAATGAAAAATGAATCATCCTGTAACTTTTCTCTACATTTGAAATTTTTCAAAATGAAAAGGTAAAAGGGGTAAGAAAATGATTGACCACATGTTTAATGTAAAGATCAAAGCAATACATTGAACTTTTAGGATCCTAGTTTAATAAAAGTATCACCTAACGTAGTCATTCCTGGGAGAGGAACTGGTGTTTGCCTTTGATCCGATCTTCCTCTGAGTTTTGTGTACGTGGTCTTTTACCTAGTTTTAGAGCGTCACTTTTGAAATCCACTTTGGAGATGTTGCTTGCATTACTTGGGGGAAACTTGCTGGTAGTGGGTATTAATCTCTCACTATATGGCAGGCCCGTATTTTTTTTAGTAATTTAGTTAAATATTTATGTTTTCATATGTGCAGCTGACATACATCTGTCTTTCTCAAGGTAGCTTTCAATCTAAAGTGACACTGGTTGTAGGTGGAGCCAGTTTCAGATCCTGAAAGTTTAGGGGGAGCCAGGGCTCCCAGGAAAAGTAGAGATGAGTTTGGACAACCATCACCCAATTCACCAAATAAGGCGGGACTTCTAAAGACTGTCCCTTAGGAGAGGGGCTCGGAGACTTATGGGTAACGGAGTCCTGAATTGGATGGATTCCTGGGAGAGGCGCAGGGAACTGGTCCTCGCAGCTCCCTCTGCGCATGTGCAGTTCTTCCTCATTGTTCGCCCGCTCCCTTGTTTCCAGCTTCGCGCGCGAGCAGATCGCCAGATAACGACGGAGCAGCCCGGCGTCCGCGTCGCTCGCTGACCGGGTCCCGCACGGAGGATGTGCACTGCAGGTGAGAGCCTCGTTGGAGGGTTGCTTGGCCAGGTTTGTGCCCGCGCCTGGTGGAAGCCGCAACCTGCGCGAGTCGCATGCAGACTGACACCCTCCAGCTCTAGCTCCCGGCTCTGCTCTGCCTTTGCCCCTAGAGGAAGCCAAGTGACAGAGCAGCTGGGCTGCGAACCTGCGGGTTCCAGGAAGGGGGTGTGGACATGGGTTTCCCGGTCAGAATAAAGTGCGCTGAGAAAAGGCATCCACGTGTTCAAGGACTGTTTCCAGGAGCTCCTCGAATTTGCATGTGCCCCGGCCAAGCATTCATTAGGGAGTGAAGTCCACCACCCCGGTGAGATGAGACTCATCCTGGTAGCAGGTAGCTGTGCCTGCCGGCTAAGGGCAGGTGGTGGGTCTGCAGTCTCGCAGGCTGACTCAAGAGTTCGAGTTGGAACTACAGGTGGTGCAGATTCTAGCCTTGCCACCGAGTCTCCATGGGCACAATGATGAGCCTCTAAGACTCAGTCTCTCCGTCAGCAGAATGAAGTCATTCCTAAAACCTGTCTCCCGGTTGATCTGAGGAGCGAGCAAGGAAGCACCTGTGAAGCACTCAGCACAGGTCCTGGCAGTCACGAAGCACCTGGGAAATGTTACTGCCCTTTTCACTGTTCTTTCCATGAAGTGTATTATTTGTTCTCAAAGACCCCCTGTGAAATCGGGGTTAATCACCCCGTTTTAACCAAGCAGTAAGCCGAGACCGGAGGTGACGTTTCATGGCCAGTCATGGCAGGAGCTGGGGTGGGATCCTCAAACAGCCTGATTTCCACGTCCCAGGCAGGGTTTGCCCGGCTGCGCGTCCTTCACAGCGCTCAGCGAGTGGCGCTTCCCTGGAGCCGCAAGGAAGGACCTGGAGTGTGTGAGGACTGAGTCTTCCCTAGAGGCTCTTGAGGATTCTTGGTGTCTGCACAGAACCCTCGGGTTACTGCACAATTGAGCCTTCTAGACAGACAGGGTGTCTGTCTGCCCTGTGCCCTCAGCAGTTTACAGACCCCTCAGTCACACTTTCTGGCAGTGGTTCCCAGCATGCATCAGAATCACCTGGAGGCCTTGTTAAAACCCAACAGCGGCCTGGTCCCACCCCCAGCGTTTCTGGGTCAGTAAGTCTAGGGAGGGACCCAAGAATTTGCATTTCTACAAAGTTCCCAGGTGCTGCTGGAGCTGCTGGTCTGGGACCACACGTGAGAGCTGTTGTAGGGGGTGGTGAATTCCAAGAGACAGTGGGCCAGGGCTGAAGATTCCAGTTCATTGAATTTACCCCTTCCGGCCAGGTCCAAATTTCCCTGATCACTCAGCTCTTGGGAGGAAAGAGGGTGGGAACAGGAGCAGGACTCCCACCTGGGGTTTCCCCACCCTCCCCAGATGGGCACCAGGGCAGAGATCGGAGGGACAAGCAGGGTCTGTATTCGCTTGCTCAGAGCAGTTCCTCATCCTCCTGCCCTCAGGTTGTCAAGGCGCAGAGAACTGGTCCTGTGGTTTGTTGTTGTCGTTGTCAGTCAGTGAAAGCAAGGGCCAACTTTCCAAAGAGAGAGGTCAGCGGGGCTGAGGATGGGGGCAATAGTCAGGCTTCATGGGAAGGGAAACCCTTGGACAGGATGAGGAGGACATGGTCTGGGAGGGAGGCCAGGGAGACACTATCTCTACTCCTCCCAGAAAACCCTCCCGCATCAATTCTCTCATCCCTCTCCCGGGACCCTGCCCAGCCCTTAAACCATGCACATCGCCACATCTGGAATTTAGGGCTGTGCCACCCACCTGCCATGCCTGCCTTCATAGCAGCACAGGAAGGGTTTTCAAGGGTTCTATAATCCTGCCTCATTTTAAAAGTGAACAAGATGGGGCCTGAGAGAGTCATTGGCATAGGGTTAAGTATAAGGTTTCTGGAGCCAGACTGCCAGGGTTCAGAGCCCGGCTCTACCATATTACTTTAACGTTCTCCCCCTCAATTTCCTCTATAAAGTTGGAGTAATAAGAGCACCTACATCTCGCTTTATTTTAAGGAATAAACGGGGTAACATCTATAAAGTACTTAGAACAATGCTGTTACATGGTGAGCAATATGCAACTATTGTCAGTATCATTAATGTTCTTACACCTGCATTATTATCTCCATTTACATTATTCATTAGTCAGAACCAAAAGGAGCACCAAGGTCCCCTGACTGCAAATCCCAAGCCACGGTTTTGTCCACCATGTCTCAGTTAAATCAAAGCAAGTTTCTTAATAAAAAGTCCTTTGGAGATACTGCAAACCAAGGAGAACAAATCTCCTTTCCAAAAAAAAAAAATAGATTTTCTTAAAGCACACCCATTCCTATTGTCAGAGGTTCCGATGAATTTTTAACCACAAGGAGTTAAAAACATACGTATAAAAGTACATGAGCAGATTTCTATCAGGTTTTTATTGTTGTGTCATCTTCTACATTTTTTAATGGAAATATTTAAAACATACAAAATAAAGAAAACTATATAATGACTCCCATATACTTGTCATAGCTTCAGCAATTTTCAAAATATGGGCCATTTTATTTCATCTATCTATACTCCCCCAACAGACACACACACACACACACACACACTCCCCACCTTCCACCTTCCTCTACTGGATTATTTTAAAGTAAATCCCAAATATCAAAATAATTCAGAATGTCACATGTTTCATAATGGACCAAAGGGGTGGCATGTTGTCCTTCCTATGCTACGATTTGTGTAACCAGGTCTTTCTTAGTTGGACTTTGCCTTGTTGTATATTTGTCGGCTATTGTATCGAGGGAGGTTATACCTTGTAAGATACCAATAAGAAACAATATGTACTCTCCCCAATGGAAGGCCTGCCTCTCTGAGCTCCTCCTGGTTAGACCAGGGTTGCCAGAGGCCCCTCGTCATACCTGCCCTTCCTGAGGGTCATAGACATCCCCCCCCCCCCCCCCGCGCTGTGGCACTAATCCGTGTGGATTTCTAGACAGCGCCATGAGGACTTCAAGGTAGACCATAGTTCCCATGATACCTTTTCTCCTTCCCTTTCTCCAGCTCTGCCTGCACGGTTCTCCACACTCTTCCAGGGGCGGAAGAAAATGAACACATCTGAGGTGAGTTGTTTACTTATTACCAATTTTTTTCCTGTGAAATCTAAGAGTTCCTTTGCATTTTCAGTAAACACATTTTCTTATCAACTGTTTTTCTTTATTTTTATCATTTCCTGCATTATTATTTCCCTTTCCTTTCTTAATCTTCAAGTAGTTGCCAAGGTCTACATTTTCTTTTTATTCTACTATTGATTACCTTTGATGTGTTTAGCACAGATGTAAACATATGTGTCTCTCCACATCAGGAATGGTTTTTATAGTACCATCCAAATAAGATAGACTCCTCCCTCATCTCAAGCTTTGTGGAAATAATCTAATGCTTTTCTTTTTTCTCTTTTTTTAATAGAATAAATATTATTTTGGGAGTTTTTAGTTAACAGTCGCATCACACCTTTTTACTACTTGGATAATAATTATTTAAACTTTAGCATCCCTTTTCTGATTATTTTTGCAGCCCCAAGGTTGAAGGCAAAGTGACAAAATAATAATTGGTCAGTTATAGTCTTACCTACAATTTAGGGCTGCTTGTTATGTTCTAGTCACTGTTAATTTTCTTACCTGGATTAGCTCAGATAATGCTGATGTTATGAGATAGGTACTTTTTTCTTTTTTTTACTTTTGTTTCGTCTATTTTGTTTAGGTGGGTACTTTTATATGCCCCTTTTGGAGGATATAAGTAACAGATTTAAGTAACTTTTTAAGAGCTTGTGGCTGGAGTAGTTCTAAGGATACATCGTTAGACATTCGGCCAGAAAGACAGTTGAGGCCACATTCACTGCAAACTTCCCACGCACTGTTGGCTGTAAGTTATCATCTGCTTATGTTTCAACTTGCTCAAGAGCTTGGGAGATATCTTAGGTGTAGGATTGCCAGAGAAGACACAGGGCATATAAAACAAAGTATATCCTGCATGGGACACGCATATACTAAAAACTTATTTGTTGCTTATCTGAAGTTCAAATTTAACTGGCAACCCTACTTCTATAGGAAGGGTTTCAAGCACCCGTGCTGACCAATGGAGCTGGCGGTCCTAGCTCAACCAGGGGCCCCGACCTTCCCTGTCTTCTATGGCGGATTGCATTACCCCATCCCAGAGGGCCTGTGGTTGAACCGACGAGGCCACTGGAGCATCACCGTCCATCCCTGTAACAGCTCCTCTTCAAAAGTTTCAGGAATTCTCAGGCGTGGTTCCCACAGCTTCGTCAAAAACTATAAAACTTTGCCCACATACCCTTTATAAATAGCTTTTTAAAAAAATGTTTCCTGTTCAGTTAGCCCCATGCACTCTTCCCTTTCACACCTGTAAGCCACCCACGGTCAGTCCTTTCTGATCTACCGGATCCAGTTCTTCAGCCCTTCTCTCTTCCACCATGATTCCTGGAAGCCAGGTCTTCTTCCTCAGGTTCTGCTGAGTTTTGATAGAGACCCCTGGAGGGGGTTACATGCCTTCTGAGGCTAGGTATCTGAAAGTGCCTTTATTCTGCCCCGTTACATGAATGGTTGATTGCTTACAGGATTTGGGTTTGAAATCCTTTTCCTTCAGAGCATTAGGAGAAAAGATCATCTCCATGGTCTCCTGGCCTTTGGAAAGACGTGGAGAAGTCGTGCAGCAGTTTATTCTTGTGTGTGTGTGTGTGTGTGTGTGTGTGTAGGTAACCTGTTTGGTTTTTCCTTCTTGCAAGTTTGTCTTTACCCTGGGGTTTCAGATGTTTCACCAGGCAGTGCCTGGTTATTTGTTCTTTTTTCAGGCTGCCTGCTCGGTAATTGGATGGTCCTGTTAGGATGAAGACTCGTGCGTTCCGGGATGTTTTCCGTTACTTCTCAGATGGTTTCTCCTTCCCTCCAGCTCTTTGTTCTTGTCGCCCAGAAATCCCATTAGACTGTCAGTGCCTCTCCCGACCGGCATCTATGATTTCTTATTTTTCTTTCATCGTTTTCGTTTTTCTATGTTTTTTGTTCTATGTGTTGAGAGATTTGCTCATTTTTGTCACCTGTATGGTTTGGTTTTCCAGCCTTCTCTTGAGAGTTTGTTTTTCTGTTTTCATAAGGCAGCAATAAAATATTTAGGGTCTGTGGACTTCTTTTTTCACACCTCACTTTTCTCATTTCATAGAAGACTCTTTCATCAATTTGGGAACATCTATTGGAATTCTTCAAAGTTATTCTCTTTGATAAGGGAATTAAACTTGTTTTCATAGTCTTCAGTCTGTTCTCAGTATTTACCTTTCAGGCTGCTGATTTTTAATGACAGGAGATTTGTTTAACAGTCTTCAAGTCTGTTCTTGAGGCTTCTTTTTCAGATGGTTGTTTTTCCTCCTACATTGGGGCCTTTTTTGTCTTTTGTGTGAAAAGAAAGGTAAAACCCTCATTATATCAATTTGGTAGCTGATGTGTGTTACTTGGCAACCAGAGGCCTGTTTCCTTGGCAAGCTTTTCACTGGAATGAAAGGATGACTCGGGGTCTCCCACGTGAATAGTTGGGACATGTGTACAGACAGGCTTCTCTTTAGTCTGTACAGAGGGGGACAAAGCTCGAGGGGACCCCGTTTCCCCTGCCAAATGGGGCAGTGCCTTACCTGAGCGTATCAGTCTGTTTCCCTAGAGTTGCCTTAAAAGAAAAGCTGTGACCGTATCAGGGTGCTAAGCACAGTACTCTGATTGTCTCTTGGGTTGCAAAGTTCATGCAAACACGTGGAGGCGGTTCCCTGCCTGTTATAGAGACCTGGCCTCCTGAGTGTTAACCCTCAGCTATCCCCTGAGCAGGGAAGGAACCACCCGAGGAGGAGGCGGGCCTTCTGTTACTCCTGCTCCCTCTTCTGCGGCCCCGCGTCCACTAGAGTTTCCTGAGCTGGGAGGTCTCGCCAGGCTCTGCACGGAACCTGAGACTTTGCCACACTCTGTATTAAGGGGTGAGCACAGTGCTGCCACTATCTCCCTCCTCTACATCTTCCAGAAGCCAGTCAGCGTTTCTCACTTGCCGCCATCCTCTCTCCCCATGTGCCTCTGTTCTGATACACACATTAGTGTTTTTATGTCTCTTCTTGCTATAGTTTCAGAGGCAGAGGAGAGTGTGTGTGTGTGTGTGTGTGTGTGTGTGTGTGTATGTGTGTGTGTGTGTGTCCAGCCCATTGCATCGAGTTAGGAGAGCACTTATTCTTGAAATTGTCACCACCAGACAGCATTTATTTGACGGCTTGCTTTGGGGGTACCACAGTGGACCAGACCAGGACTGTTCTAGATGCTGCAGATACAGCTGCTAACTCCTGGTTCCTGTTCCTTCGTCGTCACCAGGCCCACTGGCCTTGCCCTGCTGCCCCCAGGCTCTGTGCCCTTGGTCTCCATGCTCTTTGTGAGCAAGGTCCCTGTTCGGATGGCTTCTGCTACCACTGAGAAGTTCCTGGTTTCTAAAAATACATCCTAACCCTACACCTCTCTCCTGAGCCCCAGTTGTCACCTCAACATCTCCACCCGTGGGTGCCACGGACGCCTTCAGTATAACACGTCCAAGAGCCAGCTCTCTCTCCTCCTGCCCAATCTGCTCCCTCTCCTATTTTGCCAATCTCAGTATCTGGCATCAGCATTGACCCAGCTGCTCTGGCACTTACCTGGGACTACTGCTCCTTTCCCCCCCCCTCATTCCATAAACAATTACTGACTAATTCCATTTAGAATCAGCTCCCACTTCTAAATCCTTTTGCTGCTACGTTAAAGTAGGTGGTCATCTCTTTTCATAGTCTATTACCTTCCTCTCTGACTTCTCTTGGAAACAGGCTTTCTTAAACTTCAACACTATCAATATTTTGGGCCAGCTAATTATTTTTTTTAAAACAATAACATGTTTTTATGGATTTTTAGAGAGAGAGAGGAAAGGAGAGGGATAAAGAGATAGAAACATTAATGAGAGAGAAACATCACCCATCAGCTGCCTCCTGTACACCCTGCAACCTGGGCATGTGCCCTGACCAGGAATTGAACCAGTGACCTCTTGGTTACTGGGTCGATGCTCAACCACTGAACCACACCAGCCAGACCAGATAAGTCCTTGCTGTAGAAGCTGGCCCAGTAATATTGTAGGATATTTAGTAGTATCTCTGGACTCCACCCACCATATACCAGTAGCACCCTTTCCTCAGTTGTGACAACCAGACATGTCTCCAGACATTGCCAAATCCCCCGTGAGTGGCAAAATTATGTCTGATCGAGAACCACAGCTTCGAAACACCTGGCACTCGGCTTCTAGAACACTACTTTCAATTTATAATTCTGATGTGTCACTTGTTTACATGGCCCCATTGTCCTCAGAAGCAATCTCCAAAGCAGACATATTGGCCCCAGAGAACTGCACAATCAAGTCTTTTTTTATTTCCTGCCTGTAAATAAAGTACTAGAATGCACTTTCATGTTTCTTTTGTATCTAAAAAGCTCAGAAAAGGTAAGCGTTACTTTTGGTGTGTGGCTGGAGAGTCATAGACATCGAGTATAATTTATAAGAAATACCCAGTAACTTTTTAAAAATATATATTTTTTATTGAATTCAGAGAGGAAGGGAGAGGGAGAGAGAGCGATAGAAACATCAATGATGAGAGAGAATCATTGATTGGCTGCCTCCTGCATGCCCCTCACTGGGGATCGAGCCTGCAAACCTGGAGAAAGACCCAGTAACTCTTACTGATGGGGTGACCAAGTATTTGGAGGCCACTGCTCTATAGAGGAAAGTCCAAAATTTCTCCATGCCTGACCACTAAATACCTCCTACTATTCTATGTCTCATCAAAGCCTCCCACCTTATTCTATTGTAAAGCCCAGGACGCAAGCCGCTGTCACAAAGAACCAAGAGACGCTTCTCATGCAAAAGGCAAAGGGTTTATTTAATTACCAACATGTTGGGGCTTACCAGCTTACTCTGAACGCAGCAGAGCAGCGGCTGCAAGCCCCGACTAAGAGTTTAAGCACAGGTTATATACCCCTCTAGCAAACGGGGGAAGCAAACGGGGGAGCAAACGGGGGGAGCAAGGGGGTCATTCTTCTGGGAATCTTGGCGCCGTTGTGAATTAATGCCTGTCTAGTTGCTAGTTTTTCAGTTTACTCCCGGGCTGCGGCCATCTCCCGTAACCTCCCTGCTGCAGCTGTCTCCCATAAAAGTTGTTTGTTCTGTCTGCCCCTTCTGACCTTCCTGATTGCCCTGGTGCCGTTTGTTCCATCTGCCTTTTCTGACCTGATTATATTGGCACCTCTCATTTCCCCCCTTTTTCTGTGGACGGTTTCTAATCTTAGAGACCTTCTGGCCCAACTGAGGCTGAGTATTGTTGCCTGATAATAAGGAGTTTAATGTCCCCTACTCTCTGTTGTATGAATCCTATGATTCTATTTATAATACAGGGTCCTATGGGGAGAATTAACAACAGGATTATAAGCGGTTCAGCAACTGCTGATAAGAGGGTCGTTAACCATGGCGACTGTGTAAACCAAGATTCAAACCAACTTTTCTGCGCCTCCCTTTCCTTTCGTCGCTCGGCTAGTCGCTGCCGAAGTTTGGTCATGGACTCCTCTACTACCCCTGTATGATCGGCATAAAAACAACACTCTTCCCTGAGGGCTGCACAGAGCCCTCCTTCCTGCATAAACAGGAGGTCGAGACCACGTCTGTTTTGCAGGACTACCTCTGAGAGCGATGTGAGGGAGACGGACTGATTCCACCGTTGCTAGAGGCTCGTACTGGGCATATTTTAACAAATGGTCTGGTGGAGGGGAAAGAAACTATTTTAGCTTTAGCAACTTCTATTGAAATAGGATTTTTCTTCTTAAAATTCCTCCATGGCTATCAAAAAGCCAAATTAAGATTAATTTATCTACTGTCCTGATGTTTGCATAAACACAACAAGAATGGTAACTGACTACCTTTGCTGGAATTTCATGGTTGAATCTTAATGTGCCCCGTAGGGCCAGGAGGCCACGCCACCCAGCTGCCATCAGGCCCGCCTGCAGTATCTGCTGAGTTAGGTGAATTCTTCACCTGTAGCAATTCCACCTGAGCCCACGCTCCAGGCTTTAAGCCCATCTCAGTAGCCCTCCTACTTGTTGCGGCCCAGAGCGTATGGGGGTTCCGCAGGAACGTAGAGGCATCCCTACTGCTCCCCTTTTACTCTTACCAACCGCCAGTGATGGTAGGGCATCGGCCTGACACTCCAGCGCCAGCCATCTTCAGGGCTTCCAAGCAGAATACCAGGCTTCCTTCGTGGCATTTTTACTGGCTTCAAGTCTTTAGAGCTCAGACAGGGCTCTTTAAAACATGATACTCCAGTCAAAGTTTTCCGTTAATAAAACCACTATTAGGAACCGGTCTTATTGAATCTATGCAAAGAAACGTATTGCCATGTTAGCATCGCCAAATTTCGGAGGAATTACATGAGAAGAAAGACATACTGATCTACTCTAAGATTTTCTGACTTTTCACTCTAAACAGGCTTTTTTTTTTTTCTTTTTTTTTTTTTTCTCATGGGCATGGTCATAAAGGCCTGCAAAGCAAAACACAGTGCTGCCAGTGTTAGCTGTCTCTGAACAAA